TCCTTAAAAGATGCGCCGTGAAAAGCTCTACAAAAACTGTATAAAGAAATCTCTATTAACTGGTTCTGATGGTTTTCCGATGCTTAATACGAACAACCTACATGGTGGCGCTATATCCCACCGTATTGAGCATTGGAAAAATGTTTGAAAGACCTTTTTCGTTTGGCAATAGGGATTTGTTCATACAGATTGTGTAGAGCTTTTAACAGCGCATCTTTGAAAAAAAAATCAAGATGCTATCATTTTCTCAAGCCGAGATATATGCAAAACAAAGATATCTTGCAAACATTTTTATTGTGCTGAAAAATAGCTCAATTATTTAGGTAGTTCGTTATGAGTGTGGAAAAACCAACAGAGCAAGTCAAGAGGGATTTGTTTACACGAACTTTGTAGAACTTTTCACGGCGCATCTTTTAAGAAAAAAATCAAGATTTTATCATTTTCTCAAGTCGAGATAAATGCAAAATACAAAATGTTGCAAAACTTTTGGAACACCCGGTATATGGAGGCGTCGATGTTTCTTCCCATGTCCAAAATAAGATCATATAGAGAACCAAGAAATATGGTACATATTCAGCATCGTTTCGAAGGCATCGGTTAACACGACCACTGAGAGATCAATCATCATTCTCGTTTACATACTGTTGTCCATGAAACTGCTCGACATCTTCAGATGCTTGAAAAACACCAGCTCGTCGACGAAGAACTGCTAGTAGAATCAAGAGAACAACATTTTTCATAATTAATAGAAACACAATCCAAGCAAAAACAATTTCAGCTCTTGTAGCTTCTATATCAGCCCTCTCTAAAATAAAGGCAAACACTTTAGAAGAGTGAATCTAAATAAAAGTGAATGTTTTTTGAATGTAAATGACTATAAAAACGTTTATGTTATCTTATGCAGAAAGATAAAACACACATCATAGCAAATAAGAATGAACTCACATGTGTCTCAGACGAAATAAGATAGTTTATTTAGTAAACGGACATCTTTCTTTCTACTATCATTTTCACTAACAGCTTTAGCGCTGTGTTTTATCATCATTTCTGAAGACAAAAATCTGATTATCCGTAGGATGTGGGTGTGACACTGACACCCTAGTGCATCTACGTCGACATCTGCACCCACAGCCACATCCTTGTTGGTGTCGGATGACATGTGTTATGAAAGGTTAAGAAGAGCACCCAATACATTAAAATTTGAGATATGTGATAAAATATCTGAGAGAGTAATGCTTAGATCAACGCATATCTAACTTATAATACTAGGATAAAAAAATTAATTTTTCTGCCAGAAATTTCAAAAATGAAATATCGAATACAAATTACAATTGTATACACGAACTCACTCTCTGAATTTCTCCAATATTTCTTGTAAAATGTACCGGTTGATTAAAACACAAAAGTTTCAGAGTGATAGAACTTGAAACTGTGTCATAGTTGGCAGTGTATAATAATCTAAGAATGATTATTTAATTTGTTCACATTCAATCAAATTTAATTATTTTTGATGAAGAATTATTGATGCTACTTTCTTAATGCTATTTAATTGATCATTTCTTCCTTTCGTAGCAAATCCCATGAAAAATTATTTTCTATACCTACTTTAAAATGCAAAACAATTCGAAGAAGATGAACTGGTTCTATAGAACGCATAAAACAAAAAGGTGGCATACCCCGATCCTTAACAAAATGCATCGTCGAGTTCTGTACAAATCTTTATGAATCTTTATTTAAAATAACAGAAGCAATTTTTTTCTAAATTACTTAGAGTAATTATAAGAATTATATCTGCTATGCATGGATGGTTCTATTAATTAATTTTTTCTATATGAACGAATATTTGCTTTTGACAGCAGAATTCAGAGTGACATAGCTCTTGGAAGTCTCTATTCATGAGATATATAAACGGAGTCTTTTATTGTTCATTCTTTCCGTTCAACAATATTTTCAAGAACCACGATATTATTTGTCTTGTTTATTTCTTTTCCAAGAAAAAGGCATTCTATAAATCTCACTTACGACTAAAACAAGTTCTTTTTTCCTTTACTTTTAGACGGTGTATCTTTTAAAGAAAAACTCAAGACTTTTATGTTTGGCCTATGCAGAGGTACGTACGAAATAAACTGTGCAAATATTTTGGTATATTCGAGACCTCGGCAGTTATTATATATTGATCACAGTCAGATTTCGACTTTAACTATTTGTTTGGATTCATTTTACAATGATAAATATCTTTATATGCTATTTCGATATCACATATAGACAATGAGAGTTTTTTATTGTGTTCATGTAAAATCTGATGAAATTCGTATAAACGAAAATCATTACTTTTACCATGTGTTGTATCCGCAATTCTGATCATCAGATGATATTATTCGAAGTATTGATACAAAGATTAAATCTTTCACTGGTATATTAATCCGTCAACAACAATGATAACCATAATGATAATTCATGGTTGAGAAATGTTTTCGCCGATTTCATATTAAATATTGGCTCGATAACATTGATACAATTCGACAAATTTGAATCGGCAACAATACGAAACAAATTTTGAACATGAATATCTTCAATATCTTACATTGTGGCACACTTCAAGAACAATCGCAGTATCTTAAAGCTTGAATCAGTAGATGTTATGAGATTCAAATTAAAAACAACAAGAAATCATAGACAAATAAGGATTATCAAATATACCTATCTGATGGCATTCAAGTGATTATAAATGTTAAATATCTCATGAAATCTTGTTCATTCGAATTTGACTCATTTTTATAATAGATCCATCAACCACTTTTTGACGACTTTCTATATCAATGTTGGTTATATGGCTATCTTATTGGCGACTGTTGCTAAACTTATTGACTCAGTGTATTGTTCATTGATTATATTGCTCCAGAATGTTTCTCCTTATTCAAGTTGATTTAAAATTCTAAATTTTGAAAGATTAACTCTATTTTTTCTTGATCCTTCTTTCCTTTGATCAGTTCTTCAACAGTTGAACACTTGCTTTGGATCAATTGGTGAATTGTTTTGGTTCGAATAGTAGATACAATCACTAGAAAATTAATCATTTATAGCATCAAGGAAAGTACAACAAGAAAGATTGAAGATAAATACTCAGTAATAGAAATTTTTTGTTTTCTTTCAAGTCAAACTAATGTTATTTTCAAGATTGATATAGATATACGCATTTTGTTTTTGCTGTTGTTCTGAATTCCTTCAAATGCTTGAGGAAATGAATGGGTGTGGGTGTGGGTGTGGGTGTGGGTGTGGGTGTGGGTGTGGGTGGGTGTGGGTGTGGGGATGGGTGGGTGTGTGCGTGTGGGTGGGTGTGGGGGTGTGGGTGGGTGTGGGGGGGGG